CACCACCTCCCTGGGCAGGCTGTTCCAGTGCCTGACCACTCTTTCAGTAAAGTAATTCTTCCTAATATCTAATCTGAATCTCCCCTGCCGCAGCTTCATACCATTACCTCTGGTCCTGTCATTATTCCTTTGGGAGACGAGGCCAACCCCCACCTCTCTACACCCTCCTTTCAGGTAGTTGTAGAGGGCAATGAGGTCTCCCCTCAGCCTCCTCTTCTCCAAGCTAAACACGTTTGTCAAGCAGGACCTGCCTTTCACGAACCCCTCCTGACTGGGCCTGGTTGTCCTTCATGTGCCGCATGTTGGCATTCAGGGTGATCTGTTCCATGGCCTACGCAGGCATCAAGGTCAGACTGACAAACCTGGAGTTCCCTGGACCCTCCTTCCCACCCCTCTTGTAGATGGGCATCACATTGGCTAGACACTAGTCAACTGAGACCTCCCTGGTTAGACATGACTGCTGGTAAATAATGGAAAATCCTTCTCCTTCCTTCTCCTTCTCCTTCTCCTTCTCCTTCTCCTTCTCCTTCTCCTTCTCCTTCTCCTTCTCCTTCTCCTTCTCCTTCTCCTTCTCCTTCTCCTTCTCCTCTTCTCCTTCCCTTTCTCCCCTTCTTCTCCTCTTTCTCCACACCTTCTGCCAGTTCTCATTTCCAGAGAGATATCCCAGCCTTTCCTGAGCCCCTCCCATTGGCCGGGACTCGCCAGGGAAGGGCATGGGGGGCCGATGGGGTTCCCCTAAGGGGGTGTCTGATTGCCCTCTTCATGTGGTTTGTTGGCCTATTACATGACAAATTGGCCTATTACAGGTGACAGATACTATCCCCCCACTTCTCGCTCCCAGGAGAAGAGGAGAAATACAGAGATTTACCAGTGTAGAAGGAACAAAACTACTTTAAGGAAATATTAATATTAAAATTAAAAGGAAGCAATGACATAGGAACAATATGGACAACACCATCTCATGCTCCTAGGATGCTGTCACCAGGAGGCCCTGGGAAAGTCCCAGACTGGACTCAGCCATGGATGGGAACTGGTTTCCGGCTCTGGAGTCAGACGATGGTGTGGGGTGGTGTGAGGGGCTGTGGCAAAGGGTGGGGATCTTCCCCTGTCTCACGCAGCTCTGGGAGGTCCTGCAGAGCCAGTGGAAGAAGGTGCAGCATGGGATGAGGTTGGGGAGAGCCCGGTTGGAGGAGCGGAGTGGTGAGTGGCCCCACCAGCCAGCACCCGGCCAACGGCCGGCACCCCATGGCAGCCCTGAGCTCACTCCATCCTCTCCATCCACAGCTTCTCCACCAGGGGATGGAGGAGGAGAGAACTCCAGGTAACCTCCAGGGATGGATGCAGTGAGTGTGGGGGATCCCCCAGCTCCTGCCCCAGACCCTCACCATGTCCTTGCCCCTGACTGCACTGGGCAGCCCTGATGAGGAGGGGGTCCCACCAGGATCTGGTGGTGAAGTGGGGTCTCTTCTCTCTTCTCCTCTGCAGGGACAGTGTGGAGGTGTCAAGCAGGGAGGGCCCATCTCCTGTCACTGGGCACCACTGAAAAAAGCCTGGCCCCACCCTCCTGACACCCTCCCTGTAAGTATTGATAGGCATTGATCAGATCCCCCCTCAGCCTTCTCTTCTCCAGACTAAAAAGACCCCAGTCCCTCAGCCTTTCCTCGTCAGAGAGATGCTCCAGGCCCCTCATCATTTTGTGGCCCTCGTGGTCCACCCTACCACCCCAGGAGCCCCTTCCTCTATTTGTGGAAGGCACGGGACCTTCTCGGAAAGGGCTGGGATTGTGCAACAGGGATGGTTCCCATGGGAATGCCCTTGATTAACCTCGGTGGTTTCCTCCGATCATGTGTCTGCACTTGGACTCCTTTGGCTGCCAGCACCTTCACACCAACTTCACCTGCGTGGTCCTCAGCCCCCTCGGCGTGGCCACCAGGGACCTGCGGTGGCTGCTACCGACCCCGACCCCGTCGGAGAGCGGGGGCCTGGTCTGAGAGCGGGGAGCAACTGGTGAGGGGTGAGCGCCCCGTGGTGCGGGTCCCCTGCCCCGCTGCCTGGGGACGGGACCCCTCCGTGGAGGGCTGTCTCCGTGCCCCGCCGGGGGGTCCGCACGGCCCCTCGTCTGCCGGCCCCGCTCTGCCTGGGGCTCCTGGTGCCCCAAGCCAAGGAGATGCTGGGCCGGCCCCGGGACCTGCCCGCAGCCAAATGGGGCAGCCCAGGGTTTATTAAAGCGCATCAAGGCTGCCCAGTGTCACCCGTGTCCTGGGGACGGGGCTGCCCGTGGGTGTGAGGAGCAGCCGTGGGGTGAGTAGAGCTGGGGGGAGAGATGAAATCCAAGGAGGGTGGGGAGCTCTGGGGTGTAGGAACCCTGGGGAGCTGGACCCATTACATCCCCCTTGGCTCCCAGGGGGGTCAGGGCTGTCCCCCAGCACGGCTCTGCTGAGGCCCACGTGCTGCTCCATGGGGCAGCCCCCCACCCTGTCTTGTCCTGGCAGGACCCTGCTCTTGGGAACTGGGGCTGGGGTGGCCGCTGCCAATCTCCTCCCTTCTTCCCCGGGTTCTGGGGGCGGACACAGGAGAGGCAGGGGACCTGAACCCGGCAGAAGACACCTCCCCTGAATACCTTGAGCAGGATCTGGGGAACGGGCATCACTCTACAGGATGCTGTGGATGTGGGAGGAGTGGGGCTGTGGGGAGGGGGCTGTAGCCCCCCACAAGCTGTCCCCCAGCCCAGGGAGCTGCAAGGATCCCCTGGAGACACCCCTGTCCAACAGCGAGTCTTTATTTTCTGGGAGCCAGGGGGGAAGGGAAGGCGGGAACAGTCGGCTGGGCAGGGACACCCCCAAAGGCAGCCCTGCTGCATCCCCCCAAAATCCACGGCCACCCCCATCCCTGGGGGGGGACACCCCACGCTCAGCTGCATCCAACAGCCCCATCTGCAGCTCTGCTGAAGGTCCCTGATGTTGTCCCTGAGGCTGGGGGCACATCCCAGGATGGGTGGCACCGTGGCAGGGCATCAGCTGGGAACAGGGGCGGCAGCGGGGCTGTCCCAGTGCCCCCAGCCCCAAATGCTGTCCCCTCCCATCCCACCATCCCGATGATGCTGGTGTCTTCCATGCTGGACCCCTCTCTCTCACCGTGGTGCAGTGGCATCGGGGCTCAGGGTCCCCCCGTGACTGCCAGGGCCGTGGCTGCCAGGAGGAGCCCCCAGAGGAGCCGGGGGTCCCCGATGATGGTCCTGCCTGGGGGGTCAGAGATTGGGGGGGTGAGAGGCAGCCAGGGGGGGCCCAGCTGAGCATCACCCCCCCATTTGCAGTGAGGGCTCTGGTCTCACCTGCGCCGAAGTCGCACGGCTGGTCCTTGCATCCCTTCTCTGCCAAAGAGATGAACAACATCTGTAGGGGCCCTGCAGGCTTCTGCCATGGCCACGTTATTCTACAATGTGCCGTGCTGTGCCATGGTGTGCTGTGCCATGCTGTTCCATGCTGTGCCATGCTTTCCCCCACCATGCCATGCTTTGCTGTGCTTTCTCCCCCCTGCCATGCCATTCAATGCTGTCCCACCCTGTGCTGTGCTCCCCCCTGCCATTCCATGCCGTGCTGTGCTGTGCCGTCCTGTGCCATGCCATGCTGTTCCCCCTCCCATTCTGTGCTGTGCTATTCTGTCCTGCCCCATGCCACACTGTCCCATGCCACCAAGGACCACCATTGCAAACCCCAGGGGGACCAGGTGGGAGACGTGCAAGCACGTGTGCCTGAAGGCAAGCCCCTCCATCCCCCTCCCCACGATTGAGGTCCCCCTCTCCTGGCAGAGCTGGTGGGACAAAGCCACCCCCTGCCCCTGTCCCCTGCCCTCAGTGGCAGGGAGGGACCATCCCAAGGGATGGAGGGACTGACCCAGGGGATAGAGGGACCGTCACGGGGGATGTCACCTTTCACCCATTCGCAGTTGTAGTTGCTGAATGTGTCCTTGGACTCGAGCCGGATGTAGGTGCTCTTCCCAACGTAGTTGACTCTGGTGACCTCAAATCTCTCAAAGGGTGGGA